TACCTCTTGCTAGTCTGTGAAATGGGGGAGGTGGATCTGCCTACCACAGGCCTTAGGGCCCGGGGCACTGCAAAGTCACTGTGAAAGCAGCCTGTATTCACAGAACCTTGGAAATGGGGACCCTTCTCTTACATGCTTACGTCTTGCTTTCAGCTGCCCTCCGAGAGCCTATGGAGCAGTCATGAAAGGGACATTTCCAGTGTCCCACCAGCTAGCATGCATAGAAAGAACACTGCAAAGAGTCAACTACGAGCCAGACTCCAGATCCACACAGTTATCTCTGTTTTGCAGCTATGTCTTTGGCAGTACTGGGGTTTGAACTCAGGGCCCTGTACTTGCTAGGCAGGTCATTTACCACTTGAGCCACACTGCCAGCCCTTGCAAACACATTTTTGAAAATGGATAATTCTTCCTAACATGTAAATTGGAACCGACTCCTTCACAGTCCCAAACTCATGGTTGTAATCCTGTACCCAAGGGCAAGCTATAGTTAGAGCCCTGATGGTGTGAGGTGCAGCCACCCAGCTGGGGAGCACCTTTAGCTACAGGGACCAACCTGCAGCATCCAGCCTGCAGCTAGGACCAGGGACTCCCTTAGTGTCTCCAGCCAAGTTCGGTGCCCTGCAGGGGCCAAACTTTCTCAGGCTGCTGGGAGGATGAAGAGAGAAGAGAGGATCCAACTCAGGCCAGGAGCACGGGGATCCTGACCCCAGTCAGAGCCAGGCTGCTGGGAGTTCATCTCCCTCTGCAGAGCTGTGCACAATACGAGCAATTGCTGTAATTTCCCCCTAAGTGCTCTTGTTTCCCCTAATAACCCACATTTCATCGCCACAATAAACATTGTTAGAACTCTCCCCTCGGCTTCAAATACACATAATTGCTCCTGGTGCCAGTAAAAGGTATTAATTCCATTTATGCATTCCATAAACTTTTAGGATAACGCAATTGATACCACAATCGTGTTGGGACACCTCCTCTATTCTCCTGCTTGCAAACCTCCGAGGGGCTGGAAAGTTTGCTCTGAATCCATTAGTTGACTCAGCCTTGTTCTCCCCAGGAATCCCTTGCTGAGCCTTGTACTGCCTCCCCACCTTTGTGCAGGACACAAACGTGCACCGAGTCTGAAGGCAGCTAGGGGTTACTCAGGCCATCTGTCTATCTGGAGTGCTCCCACCTGTGCACGCTCTCACCATTGGCCTCCCGATAGCTGCCTCTCTAGCTGTTGGCTGTGCACAAGGCTTACTCTGAGGTGCTCACAGATGCTGGGCCTGGGCCTGAGCTACCAACCAAACAGGCCTTCTTGCCTAACCACAGACCCCCATCTCTAAAACTCCCAAACACCAAGGACAGCCACCTTCAGAGCCGGTAAGGCGGAGCTGGTCAGGAAGAGGCTGAGCTGGGGCTGGACAGCGTTCAGGCATCATTAATAGAACACTGCTCCCATTCTTCCTTCACTCAGACAGTCTTCTGGGACCAGCTGTCCACATACTGCCAACCATTGGGATTGAGGGGTAGAATAGGCATGGCTACTAGCGTCCAGGGGCCAGACAGAGAGCACTGCCTCTACCCTGACCCCACAATGTCCCAGGGAGGTCATAAAACTAAAAGGAACTTGTGTCCTTATCCTTGACTCAGCCCCACCCATCCACCGAGCATCACTGCCCCCTGGGCACCAGGCCCTTGCTCACAACTGTGACCTTCTCTCCCCAAACCCAAAGTGCATCATGAGTGGGGCAAGCATGGGCCAAGAAGACCCACAAACAGTGAATATTTGTGGGGTGCTGTCCGGGTGCCATGAACAGGTCACCAGTCCCCTTGACAGCAGAGGACACTGACAGGAGGAGCAGCAGTTCACTTACAGGCAGATTTTGGATAGGGGATATGGCGGGCAGCTCTGCTCCACCCCATCCCACCTGCAGCATCCCACTCACCTGTCACTGGACCCTGATTTATAATTTAGTAGCCAAACACAAAGCCCCCCTTAGGTAGATCCATCTGCTTGTGGCTGTCAGAACCCTGGGTAGCAACCAGGGAGACCTGCGTGTATACTCACACATGTATGCATGTGCTCATGGATGTGTGTGTGCATGTGCTTGCATGGCTGTTGCTTGGATGTGTACATGTGCACAGCATGAACATGTGCACCTGTATGCCCATGCATGTGGGGGTCTGTGTTCTGCACACATGTGTGCATGTGTGTGCCCAGACACACAGCCCTTGAGCTGATCTCCTGGTACACAAATAGATCTGAGGAGTAAGGGAAGCTGGTCAGGGTAGGTGGACCCCTAGTGCTGGTGGGGGGACATACAAGGGGGCCTCAGCAGTGTAGAGGCCAAAGACCCCATTAACAGCTGTGCTCACTTGGGAGCTGGTGAGGGTGTTTTGGCTGATCTAGGAGAGGAACGAAGGCAGCAGTCAATGTGGACTTGTACTTGAGAAAAATATGAATTATCTATCAGTTACCAGTCAGTAGTGTGGTGGGAGCCAAGCATAGCACAGTGCAGAGGCCTGAGCGGCAAGTCTGGGCAGCGTCCACACAGTTGGACCCCTACAGTGGAGAGCAGCTGCTGCCTGCCCCTCCCTGGGCAAGGAGAAAAGCCCTTGGGGGTCTGCTCCCAGAGAGCTGAGGTGCAAAAATCTCATTATCCATGTTGGTCCCACCTCTGCCTCTGTATGACTGGGGGCGGGGGGGATAGGCACCAGCCACAGGGTCCTCCCACCTGGTTCAGCTCTGCTGCTTGGACACCAGGCAGGGTTTAGCTCAGAGGCCCCAGCTTTCCCTGCCCACTGGTGTGGTTGGCCAGTCTGGCTGCCTCAGTCCTGAGCTGACCACCCCATGGGGCCACTTAGGTGGGTTGTTGGGACCAAACCGTGCACAGTCCTGATGTCACATACCTGGCAGGGAGTGGCAGAGGACCCAGTGGAATGGGGGGTAGGTTACTGTCCTTCCTATGACAGCTCAGATCATCCAGGGTGCTCCAAGCTTGCTAGGCACAGCCAAGACCCCACTATACCCCCTAACAACAGGAGTAAGGGAGACAGAGCTTCAAGAGCTGCTCACCTGGCTTCCAGGGGACCTTTCTCTACACCCACCAGCAGCTCAGCCCCTGACGGCAGAATGTGCACAGGTGGCACTGAGACACTCCTTCACCCACAGGGAGGGATGAAGGACTTAGGGAACCAATGCAGCCTGGCATGAAAGAGGAATGGGAGTGAGTCTACTGTCACCAGAGGAATGCAGGTGCCTCCAAGACTTCCTGACTGCCCCAAGTCACCCAACTGGACCTCAAAGCTGGGGTGGAGGGAGGGTCTGGCTCCTCCCACTGCAGACAGTAGGGAAGGGAGAGGCCTTGGGCAGGTGCAGCTCCTGTGGAACAGCCTCCTTCAGGAGAACCAGGATCCCCCAGGACGCCTTCCTGGCCCAGGAGTAAAGACTGGAGCTTCAGGCTCCATGCTGCTAAGCTCCATCCTGTCCACTGTACAGGCGTGATCTCCTTCAGCCCTCATCACTGTCCTGCAGGCAGCATGGAGCAATCATTTACAGGTAGGGAGAACAGGGCACAAGGTTGGAGACCACTGTAAGCCAAGGGCTGGGGTGGGGAGTCCTGGATGAAGACGCACCACAGTCATTTAGCCACTCCCCCCACACCACCACCATTAGAGACCTGGGAGTAGGGTGCGGCCTTTGTGTAGTGATGAGCCAGCAGCTGGAGCCCATGACAGCAGCAGCCAGAAACAGCTGTAGGAGCTATGGTTTGGAACCCAGACCCAGACCAGCAGTCTCTGGCCATCTGCAGAGGCTGACTGGCTACCTCAGGCTCCACTCTGCCCTCCGCCCCCTATCCCCCCTACCAAGAGCGTGGGAAAACCGCATCTATTGCCAGCAGAGCAGTGAAAACAGCTGTGGAGCCCTGGTTTTAAAGCAGGAGAGCCTGGGGTGGGAACACGGCTACCCTGCTTTGCACTACAGAATGTCTCCACTCCAGGGTCCCATGTAGAGGGGGAGGGAGGTGGCTAGAGGACGGCCCCAGCTATTTGCTGGAGGAGGTGGAGGCTTGAGGGAGAGGGAATGCTGCTCGTGGACTGGACCTCTGTGGGTCCCTGTGATGTGTACCTCCTAAGGTCCTGCAGGGCTCTCTCTCTCTCTCTCCCTCCTCACCTCTCCTCAGCTGGACACAGAGATCCAGAGAGCCCTGGGGGCTGCTCTTCCAATCCAATGTCCCATGTGCCCCACAATCCTGGGCTGGGGGCTCAGTGGTTAGGAACACTGACCGCGGTCACTGGGTTCCCACCTGGGTGCCCCCCTTATGCTCGGCATAGCTCTGAGCAAGTCTCAGCCTCCCTGGCTGTAAAATGGGAACCACAATAAAATCAACCTGTGGGTCCTTAAGTGGTTTCAAGAGTTAACTGAACTCCAAGCACTTAGCATGGCAAGCAGCCCACAGTGAGTGTGCAGGTGGGATGTTATCAACATTGGCAAATTCCAGACTGTTCTCAAGGACACAGGAGTGAGGACCTGAGTCTTCAGCACTGTGGTTGCACCACTTGCTTCCCTGTCCCATACCAGTGCTTGGAGACGACACCCAGCCCAAATCCACAACCGGCAGGTGGCCACACTGTCTGGAGGAGGCAGGGTCCGCTGACCCCGGCTGGCCTCAGATGACTCACAGAGCCCCACACCTCTGCTCAGGACAAATTTCAAGCCAGCGCCCCCACCTGAGCACAGGGAAGCTGGCCAGTCTTGGCGGGAAGGGTCTGCCTCTGCCTTGCTGGCAGCAACACATCCAACCCCCGTGGGGCCCTGCAGTAGTCTGGCTGGCTCTGGCCACACATCAGAGGGGTGGGCACACCCAGACTGCCCAGCCCTGAGACCCGCCTCCTGCCCAGCGCTCCTCCCGTGTGGACACTGAATGTGCTCAGCCATCCCAAGTGCCACCGACGCTGCCACCCTATCCCCAGCTGCAGCCCTGCAGAAGCCAGCTCAGAGCAGGGGCACTTACCGTCCAGGTGGCCGACTTGGCCGTGCTTGACTGCTGGAAGGTGACCTCGAAGTGGTGGGGGCCGGGGTAGTCGGTATTGGAGGGGATGACAGGTGCCGGCGACATGGTGTCGAATGTGGAGCTGGGCTGTGCGTAGGGCGAGTGAGTGGGCACGCTGGCGGCGTGCTCTGGGGTGTAGGGGCTGGCTGGGGCCGCACGGCTGCTCATCTGTTCCATGGTGCTGCTGAGCAAATTGAACTGGGCCTGGCAGGGAAGGGGGAGGAGGGAGCGGAGAAACACACCATGGGCTGAGGGTGGAAACCCCAGCCCCAGCTCCTGTCCCATCGAGGAGGTGTCTTGTTACGGGAGCCTTAAAGGGCCAGCCGGCTCCAAGTCATCCCAAATATTTCCTCAGGCCCCCACCCCACTCCAACAGGCCACTACTTGTGTTGGGATAAACTAACACACTCACCTTGCCCGCCCCTCTGTCTGCCTCCTTGGGTGCCAGGGTTTCTGGGGATCCACCCAGCCGCCAGCAAGGTGGAATCGGGGCTTTGCACACCTGGAGGGAAGCTGCCCAGGACAGCTCCCAGTCCTTGATGACACACCAGGGGCCTCTGTCTTGGATGTGCTTACATCTTTGCCCCCAATTACAGTTCAAAGTCACAATTTCCTTCCTTCCTTCGTTTCTTCCTTCTTTCCTTCCTTCCTTCCTTTCCTCCTCCATTTCCTTCCCTCCTTCCCTCCTCCATTCCCTTCCTTTCTTCCTTCTTTCCTTCCTTCCTTTCTTCCTTCTTTCCTTCCTTCCTTCCCTCCATTCCCTCCTTCTTTCCTTCCTTCCTTCTTTCTTTCCTCCCTTCCTTCCTTCCTTTCCTCCTCCATTTCCTTCCTTCCTTCCCTCCTCCATTCCCTTCCTTTCTTTCTTCTTTCCTTCCTTTCTTCCTTCTTTCCTTCCTTCCTTCCTTCTTTCCTCCCTTCCTTCCTTTCCTCTCCATTTCTTTCCTTCCCTCCTCCATTCCCTTCCTTCCTTCCTTCTTTCCCTCCATTCCCTCCTTCTTTCCTTCCTTCCTTCCTTCTTTCCCTCCATTCCCTTCCTTCCTTCCTTTCCTCTGTGAGCCAGGCCTTGGGGCTTGAGATTGCAGCCACTTGCTCTGGTGTACAGGGTGCAAGAGGTCCTGAGGGGCCGGTGTGGCCCTTTAGGTCCAGCCCTCTAAATTTTAGGACAGAGGCAGGTGCTGCACATCAGCTCCCAGAGGCTCAAGCTCCCACTCCATCAGAATGGCCCTTCCTCTCCCTGCCCTACCCAGACCCTTGCTGGCCAGTTCTCTTGCTCCCCCTGGCAGCCCAGCCCCTCCCTGGGACCACACACATGAGGAGCTTGAGCCCAGAAAGTGCATCCCTAGTCATCCTCCCTGGGTCCCCAGGACCCTAGGAAAGATCAGCCCGCACCAGGAGCTTCAGGGAGGCCGCAGCCCACCAGCCAGTCCTGAGTGTCATGGGCTGAGGGCAGAGCAGATCTCTCCTGGAGGCTGCCAATCCAAACCCCAAGGCTTCAAGCAGGAGGGTTTAAAGGATAATACTAGGAGGCTGGCCAGTGTGGGTCTATAATCATAGGTGCATAACTTCTCTTTCTTTGTGCTGGGAAACTTCCTGCAGATCCATCCGCAGGTCCAGAGCCTAGGAGGGGAAGTGACAGCAGCCCACCAGTGACAAGTGGTGAAACCCAAGAAGCCAGGAATGTGGAGATGGTGAAGTAAGGTCACAGTGGGGGTCCCCTCTACCCTCTACCCTCTTCAGAGAGGACCTGGAACCCTAGAGCCCACAGGCCTCTCAGCTGGGCCCAGGGCCATGGGGACCCTGTCCTAGGCTCTCGCTGCACCTCAGTCCTCTGACTTAATGACCCTGTGCTGCCAGTGCCCCTGCTGGTCCACCTGTGTGCATGCAAGTGCCCCTCCCGGTCCCAGGGTGGGTACAGACTTCAGAATGTAGGGCTGGCTGTGCATTCAGCAGGAATAGACACAGGCAGGCCAGAGGAAGAGTTCTCTACTGATGGCTGCCCCAGCCCAGGGGACAATGGAGGGGCGGGGGACAGGTGACAGGCTCTGCTCTTGCTAACACTATTGTCACTATATTCTGGGCCTCTGTGGCCAGACAGGACATTCCTCAGAGGCTCCAGCTGTGGGATAGCCACTGCTCCTCCCCAGAACAGACCTCGGGCTACACCAAGTCCAATCCATCCCTCTTCTGGGGACAGCTACTCTGGGCTTGACTGGATTTGGACAGAGCTTCCACCATATGGAAGCACACAGCAGGCCTCAGGCCAGACAAGTGGGAACGATCCATCATTGGGGCCAGGTCTCTGAAGAACAGGCTCTGCCCACCTGGCCAGCCTTGCTGAGGTCTCCCTGCCCAGTTTCTGGACAGGTTCTCACAACCTGTGCCACAGGGCCCCCACAGCACTCCTGTGTCCATAACAGGTGAGTGGACAAGCTGGAATATCCTTGGCTACAAGAAGGAATGAAGCCCTGACATAGGCTACAACGTGGCTGAACTTGGAACACTGTGCTTACTGAGAGAACCAGACACAAGGCCACACACTGTGTGGTTCCTTTACAGGAATGTCCACCACAGGCAAAGCCAGAGAGACAGAAGGCAGATCAGTGATTGCTGGGGCTGGAGTAGGGTAATTGGAGGAGGGACACCTAAAGGGGACAGGGTTTCTTTCTGGGGGATAAAAATGTTCTAATGGTTGCATGTATCTGTTCGTAGACGAAAGAACTTTAAATGTATGAACTGACTGGTGTGTGAATTATACTTACTAAAGCTGTTTTAAAACACAGGGAGAAGTTGGGTGTGGTGGAGCACGTCTATAATCCCAGCACTTGGGAGGCTGAGGCAGAAAGGATCATGAGTTTGAGACCAGCCTGGGCTATATAGAAAGAACCTGTCTCAAAACACAACAAAATAATAACAACAACAAAAATCCACAGGGAAGGACCTGATCTAGCTCCTAGTCTGTTGTGAGGAGGCCACAGGGATGTGAGAATGAGTCTCCCTCCCTGTGAGAGGGCTGGTCTGGGGAGATGCCGCCTCCCACCCCCTCACTCATGCCCCCAAGATGCTGGAGCTCCCTCCTGCAGGGAAGACACAGTCCCACTTCTGCTGCCCATGCGGGAGGTTGGGTGACACAGCGGATGGGCTGAGCTCTGATTGGCCAAGCATGGGTCCTGCCCAAGACCCAGAATTCCAAGCTCCCAGACTCCTCGCCATGGCCCAGGAGGCCTCCATGGGCTCTTGACCTTCAGACCCAGCCTCCTCTAACTTATGAAGAAGCTTCACCCTGGTCCGGTCACACCTCCCCAGCTCAGAGGCCACAGCTCTGAGGGGCCGGGCCTGGCTACACTAGCGGGAGCACCTCCAAACTCGGATCTCTCACACCTTAATGCTCTTCTCTAGAAGGTGTTACTCATGTTACTACTGGATTATGAGCCCACAAGGTCCCATGCTGTCCGGAGGGTCTGTCCAATGGCAGCCACTAGCCACATTGGACGTACAGGAGCACAGGGCAGGTGAAATGTGCCAGGTGAATGGAGGTGTATAGTCTGAATCCAAGGAAAGAAGGTCAAACACCTATTCACAATTCCATATTTATACATTGAGACAATCCTAGTTTGGGATAAATAAATTATTAAATGACATCTACTAGTTCCTTTTCACCTTTTTGCTTTGTTTTGTTTTGTTTTGCAGTACAAGGGATAGAACCGAGGGCCTCGCACACGCTATGGTAGTGCTGTCCCACTAAGTCCCATCCCCAGTCCTCTTCACTGTTGGAATGTGGCTCTCATTCCACAGTGGTCCTTCAGTGTCCATGGAGATGGGTCTAGGACACTCACGGATACCAAAAGTCTCATATAAACTGGCGTGGTTTTGCACAGACCTTACAAACTACTCCCATACACTATAAATCATTTTTTAGATAATTTATAATACTTTTTTTTCAGATACAGTCTGTCTATGTACACCAGGCTGTCCTTAGGCTCTCTCCACCTCCTGAGTGCTGGGATTATGGACCATACAGCCACCTAGTGACTGTAATACTTAACGCGATGTAAGTGCTACTTACCTAGTGTTACTACATTGTCTAGGTAATAAAGAAAAAAAGTACAGATACAATATTTTTCCAAATATTTTCAATCAGTGGTTAGTAAAATCTGAGAATGCAGAACCCATGGACACAGAAGAACCCAAAACACAAGTATGCATCTCTACTGTATGGCCTTGGAGTGGATCCTCTATATTCTCATTGCAAGGTAGTTGTTTAAGAAGTTTGCTGACTGAACCAACTAGCAGATGAATGGGTGAATGAATTACAAAGGTGATACAAATGTTCTAAACTTCATGGTGGCTGCAGGTACCAACGTGATGGATGGCAGGACTGCTCTCCCTGGCACAACTGTCCAGGAATGAGGATAGGACATGAGCTGGGCACTCTCACCCTGGGTCTCCTCTTTTTTGGGGGAGGAGCCCTGGCCCTTGGTGAAGGTCTTCTCTGTGGTGCTTGAGATCCTGGATGGGCAAGGGCTGTGGACTTCCTTCCTTCTGTGTTCATGTGAGCTCCCAGAGCAAAGATAGCCCAGTCCTGGGCTCAAAGTCTGCCCAGCAAAGGGCTCCCAGGTCAAGACAGCAGTTGAAGGCAGGGTCTCCCAAGCCTCCGTCCTGACAACAGATGTCCCAGGCCTGGGCCAGGAGCCCAGCCTCCCTTGCTCAGGAGAAGCAGGGTCAGGCCCATGACAGCGGGGTTCGTATTTTAACTTGTCCACATTCTTTAATGATCAGAGGACAGTGCCAAGGACTTAGTCATCAAATCAACAGGAGTACTGATAGCATCTCCAGGGAGCAGCCTTATAGAAGGGAACCCGAAGCCTTTCCACCCAGCAGGCCGGCCAGAGCGGGAGTTCTAGGAGAGGTGGAGAAATGTCCGTGGTTGGCACAAGCAGCGAACCTGAAGCCCTCTCACCCTCTCAGCTTCGTGCTGGCTGGAGCCCCAGTCGGGCTCCCTCAGCCGACTGCCCAGCATCTAGCTCAGTCCCTCTTCCTCTGGCCTTCCATGATTAGCAGACTCCATGACATTTCCTGATCAGGGGCCTCTGAAGACCCCTCCTCTCAGAGGAACTGGGCTAGACCAGTTCCCATGTCTGATGGACACTGTCCCTGCAACCCCCGGGACACCTCCCACATGCTCCTTGTGTGGACACAGTACCTGT